CGTTACTCAGGAGGCTGAGGTGGGGGAACTGTTTGAGCCCAGGAGCTCAAGGCTGCAGTGAGCCATGATCACACCACTGCACTCCAGCTTGGGTGACAGAGACCCTGTTTGAAAAATAAGTAAATCACAACGTAAAAACTAAAAATCTACTCCTGTGCAGCTAAGGATAGTCTCAAATCTACAATTTTATCTCCTCAATATCTGAAATTTTAAAAAGTCACAAAAACAACCAATAGAAAATAAGCTTGATTGTTTTGCAGATCCAAAGATAATGCCTCTAGACACCTACACCTCAAAACCATACAGAAACGTGAACTCAAAAGTGAACTAAAATCCTAAAAAGGTGTAAATTTTTGTGACTTTGAATTTGGCAATAGATTCTTAGATATGACACCAAAACATAAGAGAAAAAAAATACATTGTACAAAATTAAAAACTTTGTACTTCATCAAGGTGACAAGACGGTCCCCTGAGAGAAAACTGTCTGGAATCATATATCCAGAATATATACAGAACTCTTAAATTCAATAATCAAAAGGGCAAATAACCCCATTTAAAAATGGGTGAAGGACCTGAAGAGACATTTCTTCAGAGATACACAAATTGCCAACAAGCTCAGGAAAAGTGTTCAATGTCATTAACCATCAGGGCAATGCAAATCAAAACCACAGCAACAGCCCACCTCACACGCACTAGGATGGCTAGAATAAAACAGACAGTGACAAGGCTTAGCAATGGTGTGGAGAAACCGGAACCCTCACAGATTGCTGATGGGAATGGGAAACGGAAAAGGTCTGGCAGCTCCTCGGAAGGTGAAACGCAGGTACCATATGACTCAGCAACTCCACTCCTAGGTCCACACCCAAGAGAAATGAAGGTAGAAGCACATAAAACTTACACCTGAGTGTTCAGAACAGCACCATTCATAGCAGTCAAAAACAGGAAACACTCCACAAGTCCATCAACTGATAAACAGACACATATCATGCGGCCTACCTAACACAAAGGTGTCTTATTCTGCCACCAAGAGGAATATAGCACTGACACCTGCTACAGCGTGGATGAACCTCAAACACGTTATGAAAAGCAAAACCACACACACAAGACTCACCACATATTATATGATTCAATTTCTATGGAAGGTCTGGAGCTGGCAAATCTACCCAGACAAAAGATACGTTACTGGTTGCCCAGGGCTGGGCGGACGGTGGTGGTGGTGGGGATCGGGAGGTCATGGCTAAAGGGTACAGGGTTTCTTTTTGAGGTGATAAAATCATTCTGAAATTGATTGTGGTAATAGTTGTACAACTCCATGAAGATACTAAAAACCAGTGGAAAGTACACATTAAACAGGTGCACTGTATGGTATGTGAATTATATCTCAATAAAGCTGTTACAAAAAATACTGTTCAAAAGATGGCTGGGCACGATGGCTCATGCCTGCAATCCTAGCACTTAGGGAGGCCGAGGTGGGCGGACTGCCTGAGCAGCTGCCCACTGCACTCCAGCCTGGGCAACGGAGCAAGACTCCGTCTCAAAAAAAAAAAAAAAACTGTTCAAAATAAGATAACGACTCTGTCCAACCTCATTAATATTAAACCTTCCTTGCAAACGTCAGTGTACAAATCAAGACTACACAAACATGAAGTAGTCTTGCTCTGTTTAAACAGAGTGGAAAATTCCTCTGTTTTTTTTTTCTTTTTCAGACAGAGTCTTGCTCTGTTGCCCAGACTGGAGTGCAGTGGTGCTATCTCAGCTCACTGAAACCTCCATCTCCTGGGTTCACGCAATTCTCCTGCCACAGCTTCCCGAGTAGCTGGGATTACACACATGCGCCACCACACCCAGCCAGTTTTTTATATTTTTAGTACAGATGGGGATTCGTTATGTTGGCCCAGCTGATCTCCAACTCCTGGCCTCAAGTGAGTTGTCCACCTCAACCTCCCAAAGTGCCAGGATTACAGGCACAAGCCACGGCACTCAGCAGCACCCCCGCTAGCAGCTTTTTTTTTTTTTTTTTTTTTTTTGAGGCAGGGTCTTGCACTGTGGCCCAGGCTGTCATGCAGAGGCACAATCTCAGCTCAATGTAACCTCTGTGTACCAGGTTCAGGTGATCCTCCCACCTCAGCCTCCCGAGTAGCTGGGACTACAGGCATGTACCACCACCCCCAGCCAATTTTTCTATTTTTAATAGAGATGGGGTTTCTCCATGTTGCCCAGGCTGATCTCGAAACTCCTGCCTTGGCCTCTCAAAGTGCTGGGATTACTGGTGTAAGCCACCGAGCCCAGCTGAAGAATGTCATACATGACGAGACAGAACTATCTGTCCAGCATCAGCTTTCCATTAGCCTCAGCACCTTCGGCAGAGCAGGAGGAGAAAGGAAATCAAAAAGGCACTCGGTAGCCAAAATTGTGATCACAGACACATTCCCTACAGTACGCTTACTCAAGGGAAACCCCGCCCATTCTCATCCCCAGCACTTCTACCATTTACGCAGAGCAATGCGTGAGCAGACGGGGTGGGCCTGGGCCACAGTGAAAGCCAAGCCTGCTCACAGAGCACAGTCCCCTGCTCTTGGCTGTCCCAGGCCATGGGAATACTGCAACACAAGGCAGTAGACAGCACTCACAGCAATTCACTCTCAAGGACATCTTTTTCTGAGCACCTACTACGTGGCACAGACTGAAGATCTGAATTGCCAACTATGTGCACTGTCATTTTAAAAGTGTTTTAAAAACAAGTCCATCAACATGTTACAATTAAAAGTCAGCTTTAAGCCAGGTGTGGTGGTTCACGCCTGTAATCCCAGTACTTTGGGAGGTTGAGGCAGGCGGATCACAAGGTCAGAGGTTCAAGACCAGCCTGACCAACATGGTGAAACCCGGTCTCTGCTTAAAAACACAAAAATTAGCCGGCCGTGGTGGTGCACACCTGTAATCCCAGCTACTTGGGAGGCTGAGGCAGAATTGATTGAACCCAGGAGGCAGAGGTTGCACTGAGCAGAGAGCACGCCACTGCACTCCGGCCTGGGCAACAGAGCAAGACCCTATCTCCAAAAAAAAAAAAAAAAAAAAAAGGGCAGCTAACCCTAACCCAGCTACTTGGGAGGCTGAGGTGGGATCACTTAAGGCCAGCAGTTCAAGGTTGCAGTGCGCTAGATGGCACCTGTGAAGAGCCACTGCCCTCCAGCCTGGGGACAGGGTCTTTCTCTGTCACCCAAGCTGGAGTACAGTGGTGCAATCATAGCTCACTGCAGCCACCAACTCCTGGGCTCAAGAGATCCTCTGCCTAAGCCTCCCGAGTAGCTGGGACTACAGGTGCCCGCCACCATGCCTGGCGCATTTTTCTTTTTTGGTAGACACAAGGTCTCCCTATGTTGCCCAGGCTGGTCTGGAACTCCTGGACTCAAACAATCCTCTCACTTTAGCCTCCCAAAGTGCTGGGATTACAGGTGTGAGCCACTGCACCCCGCCCCAGGCCACAAGAAACTTCTTTTCAGGAAGCTTTAGCAGACGGATAGCTTCCAGTTCCAGGGGACCTCATATCAAAACAACCCTGCCTCCCCAACTTTTTATTCTCATAGGTCCTTGATTCCAACTTAAAAAAGACTCTTCCTCGTTCCTTGAGTATCTGGCGAATACTTCTCTAACCAGAGGAGAAATAGGACGGACTCAGTGCTCTGGAGCCGGTGACTCACCCGCACGGTCAAACACGGGACTGGAGACAGGGCAGGCGCCTCTCCTGCGCCACAGCCTTGAGGGCTGCGGTATGGACCACGCCTTAAGGTCCTAGTGGGTGAAGTCCCCCCACAAGAGAGCCTGTGCAGCCAAGTCAACACTGAGCCCAAAGGGAGCGCTCACTGGATGCCTGCGGAGCTTCCTTCAGCAGAAAATGAATTCCTTCCTAGGGGGCCAGACACGTCTACAGATTCCGGTGGGAGGAAGCCCTGTCCCTTCTCATCCAAGGCCCTCCAGCGCCGGGGATCAGGCACCCGTTAGACTATCCAGACGATGGAAACGCAGGAAACAGAAAGCCCCAAAGCACCTTTCTGGTGATTTCAAATACACCCCGAAGGAGGGACGGTTCCAAATTTAGAGCCTCACGACTAGCTGCAGCCGCGCCTCGCTGCCTCCACTGACCTGATTGCAAAACCTCCGCTCAGGTGCGGGCCGGGAGGATCCCCAGCTGCTCCGCCGCGTCCCACAGCGAGCCCCCCACAACCGCGGACCCCTTCCCCTGGAACCCCAGTTCCCTTCCCTGGACCCCTCCTCGGCAGACCCCAATCCCCTCCCCTTGGACCCCTTTCTCTCAGGCCCCTGGCCCTTTCCCTAACACGCCTCCCTCACCTTCCACGGCCCCTGGAAACCCGGCCCCCTCCGCTCGGATTCCTGAACCCCGCAGGCCCAACTCCTCTCCCTCACGCCCCAATCCCCTCCCCCTCGGAGCCCATCCCCCTCTCCTATTTCCTTGGACCCACGACCCCTCCCAGCCTGGCCCCTCTCCTGCCCTGAAGCCCTCGGGGTCCAGGGACCCTCCCCTCAGAGCTGGGACCCCCGTTTGGCCCCTCTCTAACCTTCTCCGCGGACCCCATCCCCGAGCCCTCCGCGGACCCCAGCCCGGGCCCTCGGGCCCAGACCCGACCTCGTGGCCCTCGCGGACCCCCGGCCCTCGCCCGGCCCCGCCCCAGGCCGGGAAAGCCTGGCCGCTCTGCCCCAGCTCCCGAAACCGCGAGCGGAAGAGCGGTGAGACCGCTGCGGCCGTCGCTTCCTTCCCCTTTTGCGGCCCGGCGACGCCACAGAAGGCGGGGGCAGCAGAGCCAGCCTGCCGCCCGCGCGGACGCCGCGCTGGCTCACCGCCGCCGGGGTTCGCTCTGGCCCGGGTCGGCCCTGACTCCCGCCTCGCCCTCCGCTCCCAGGCGCCAGGCTCCACTTCCGGTTCCGCGGGCGGGGGGCGGGGCCGCATCCGGGTCCCCTCGCGGCCCCGCCCCCGGCCCCGCCCCGCTCCCGCGTCCCGGCCCGCACGACCCCCGAGTTCCGCCCGCAGCCTGCGAAGCGCGAGCCCGGCCCGTGGCGAGCCTGCAGGGCGCGCCGGAAAGTAGCGTCGCCCGCGCCGAAAGTAGCGTCGGGCGCGCGCAGAAGAGGGGCCCCGAGAAGCGCACGGCCCGCGGTGGGGGCTCAGGAGCCGCAGCGCCTCCCGGGGCCGGGAGAAGGAAGCCAGCCCGGGGCGACGCGCGGGCCCTGAGCCCGGGGGCGGCGAGCCCCTTCAGCGTGTCTCCACCCGCCCTCCGCTCAGCCCCGGCGTCTCTCGGTCGCGCGCACCCGGCGGTCCTCGGGCGCCCGCTCACGATGCACCCCTCCAGAAAGCGCCACCCGCGTGTCGGGGACGCGAGCCCGGGCCGCAGGCGCCTAGCAGCCTGGAAGGTGAGTCAAGCGTTCAACCGCATGGGTGCTCACCTGGGAGAGGAGATAAATGCCAAGAAGTGAGGGTTTCGTGACATCGCCCTGGAGAGCAGCCGCTAGGACCCCAGCCCATCTGGGAGACCAGAGGTTTCTTTGGGCCATCCACGTGTTAGCCAAGATGCGACGGCCCCATAGGAGTAAAGGTAAGGAGGGAAGAACTTTCCGAGTCGCCGAGGCGGGACAGGTCGTGCAGCAGGGGGACTGAAGGAGGCTCAGCTCAGCCTGGCAGAGGGCTGGTTGTGCAGCCGAGCCCGGGTGTGAGAGCGGCCGGGTCATGCAGAGGCTGAAGGAGTACAGCGAGGACCTCGGTCTTTATCCTGGGAGTCATGGGAAGTTCTTGGAGGAAGTTAACCAGATAAGAGACATCAGTGAAGTTTGTGCCAGGCGCCGTGGCGCACGCCTGTGATCCCACCACTTTGGGAGGCCGAGATGGAAGGATCCCCCAGGAGTTTGAGACCAGTCTGGTCAACATAGTGAGCCTCCTTCCCCGCCCGGTCTCTAAATAGATAAATACATCATGCAGTTTGAATTGTAATGAGATTACTCTGTCTGCTGTGTGGAGAATGGATGGCAGGAGGGCCGGGTAGAGCCTAACGTAACCAATTCGTGCAACCCTCTGGCGGCAGGTAAGATGGGGAGAAGCGGATGGATGCCGGAGGCATGTGGAAAGCTAAACTGTCACATGTGAGGGTGGGATGGGAGTGCGGGGTGGCGGAAGGAAATGTCAGATGTTGACCATTTTTTAAAGGTAAAGTCATGACTTTCATATACATATAAAGTGAACTTGTCAAATATTTAACGAATACATCAGAAGATTTTACGAATTGTTTAAAGAATTTGGCCAGATGTAGTGGCTCACGCCTGTAATCCCAACACTTTGGGAGGCCAAGGCAGGAGGATTGCTGGAGGTCAGGAGTTTGAGACCAGCCTGGGCAGCATGGCAAGACTGTGTCTCTACGGAACAACAACAACAACAACAAAAATTTTAAGAAAAAAATTAGCCAGGCGTGGTGGCGTATACCTGTGCTCCCAGCTACCCTGGAGGCTGAGGCAAAAGGATCACTTCAGCATGGGCAACGGAGACCCTGTTTCAAACAAAAACACAAACAAAAAACGAAACCAAAAAACCCAAAGAAGTCAAAAGAATGCTGAAATGAATTTGCAAAAGCTAGTCTATCTCTAGCGCAATGATCAATTGCATTTAACTGGACACAGCTAATTTGCGTTTTCTGTGGACAAAGATTGTTAGCCAGGCAACACCTGCTTGGTTTCTATGTTGGAGGGAGACATAAGACGTCAACTAATACCTGTGAGATATACATCGGTTCTGTCTGGAAAGGCAGGACAACTCAAAGCGGGGGCTTACCGGGCATCGGTGGACACAGATTTTCTGATTGGCAGTGGTTGAATGCGTTATAATCTGAAGACCTGAAATTGGTAGAAAGGAGTGTCAGGGTTAAGATAAGGGGTTGTGGAGATGAAGGTTCTTATTGTGTAGATGATGTCTCATAGTTGGCCACCTTTAGAGGCAATGGATGGCAAATGTTTCATTTTCAGACCTTTCAGAGGTGCTCTCAGCTCATCGCTTCAGGAAAAAGACCTGGAAAGGGAAAGGGGATTCTCTACGACAGAGGTCCCCAACCCCTGGGCCACAGTACCAGGACCCCCGCCCCCAACCCCGTGTACTGCCCCAGACACCAACCCCAGGCACCACCCCCAGCCCCCAGCTCTGGGCACCACCCCCCAACCCCGTGCACCTACCCCAGCCCCCAGCTCTGGGCACCACCCTCCAACCCCATGCACCACTCCCAGACCCGAACCCATTGGGGAGACCAGAGGTTTCTTTGAGCGACTCACCTGTTAGCCAAGATGTGACGGCCCCGTAGAAGTAAAGGTAAGGAGGGAAGAACTTTCCAGGCAGGGAAGTCAGCAGGTTCCCAGGCCCTGAGGCAGGAAAGGTTGTGCAGCAGGGGAACTGAAGGAGGGTCAGCTCATCTCTTCAGGAGCAGAAAAAGACCTGGAAAGGGAAAGGGGATTCTCTACGGCAGAGGTCCCCAACCCCTGAGCCATGGTACCAGGACCAGTCTGTGGCCTGTTAGGAACCAGTCCACACTGCAGGAGACAAGTGGCCGGTGAGTGAGCATTACCACCTGAACTGTGCCTTCTGTGAGATCCGAGGTACCATTAGAGTCTCCGAAGTGCAAACCCTGTTGTGAACTGCACATGCGAGCTCCTTCTGAGAATCTAATGCCTGATGATCTGAGGTGGAACAGCCTTCTCTGGAAACCACGCCACCCTGTCCGTGGAAAAACTGCCTTCCATAAAACCAGTCCCTGGTGCCCAAAAGGTTGGGGATTGCGCTCCAGCCTGGGGACAGAGTGTAGATTGTACAGAATGTGGATTTCCCCTAAAAGAGAAAGTTTGCAGAGTTGTTTCACAATATGTCAAAGAAATCTCTTGGGGTAAAAGATTTTGATTTCTTTCAGGGTCTGCTGGCATGTGATGTTATCCCAGAATCAGGTTGGGGTTTGGGAGCTACAAAGAGTCTGTTTTGTCACTCTTAAGATGTCAGTGCTGATCAGCTGTGCCTGAACTCCAACGGGAAGAGGATAGAGTTAGGCACCTCTGACCCCACATAGTGGTCTGAACAAGTTCTTCAGGTTTCTTGTTTTTTGTTTGTTTTTCTTTTTTGAGACAGAGTTTTCCTCTTGTTGCCCAGGCTGGAGTACAGTGCTGCAATCTTGGCTCACTGCAACCTCCACCTCCCGGGTTCAAGCAGTCCTCCTGCCTCAGCCTCCCAAGTAGCTGGGGTTACAGGCATGTGCCACCACACCCGGCTAATTTTTTTTTTTTTTCCTGAGATGGAGTCTCCCTCTGTTGCCAGGCTGGAGTGCAGTGTTGCAATCTCAGCTCACTGCAACCTCCGCCTCCTGGGTTAAAGCGATTCTTCTGCCTCCGCCTCCCAAGTACCTGAGACTACAGGTGCCTGCCACCATGCCCAGCTAAGTTTTAGTACAGACAGTGCTTCACTATGTTGGCCAGGATGGTTTCAATCTCCTGAGCACCTGATCTACCCACCTTGACCTTCCAAAGTGCTGGGATTACAGGCATAAGCTACCGTGCCCGGCTTCGAATTTTGTATTTTTAGCAGAGATAGGGTTTCTCCATGTTGGTCAGGCTGGCCTCGAACTTCTGACCTCAGGTGATCCGCCCACCTCGGCCTCCCAAAGTGCTGGGATTACAGGTGTGAGCCACTGTCCCCGGCCATTTTTTCAGATTTCTTTGAAATCCTCTTGGCCAAAGGGGGAAAGGTCTATTCAGTTGGTTGGGTGGGGGGTGGCTTATAGTCTTACTTTTGGTTTATATACAGACTCTGTGGCTCTGTAATTGTCAGAGGCATGTGTCCCAGAGCAACTCCATCTTGAACAGAAGCTGGGTAAAAATGAGGATGAAACCTAACGGAACCGTTAAGGCATTCTAAGCCATAGGGGTTTAGCACAAAATACAGGTCATAAAGACCTTGCTGATAAAACAGCTTACAGTAAAGAAACCGACTAAAACCCACCAAAACCAAGATGGCGATGAGAGTGTCCTCCGGTCGTCCTCGCTGCTACGCTCCGACCAGCGCCATGACAGTTTACAGATGCCAAGGCAACGTCAGGAAGTTACCCTATATGCTCTAAAAAGGGGAGGCATGAATAATCCAGCCCTTGTTTAGCATATCATCAAGAAATAACCATAGCAATGGGCAGCCAGCAGCTCTCAGGGCTGCTCTGTCTATGGGGTAGCCATTCTTTTTTTTTTTTTTTCCTTTTTAAAGACAAGGTTTCACCATGTTGGTCAGGCTGGTCATGAACTCCCTACCTCATGTGATCCGCCCGTCTTGGCCTCCAAAGTGCTTGGATTACAGGCGTGAGCTGCCATACCCGGCCAAGTAGCCATTATTTTATTCCTTTACTTTCTTTTCTTTTCTTTTTTTTTTTTTTTTTTTTTTTTTTAAGATGGGGTTTCACCCTGATGGCCAGGCTGGTCTTGAACTCCTGATCTCGGGTGATCCACCCACCTCGGCCTCCCAAAGTGCTAGGATTACAGGCGTGAGCCACCGCGCCTGGCTCCTTTACTTTCTTAATAAACTTGCTTTCACTTTACTCTATGGACTCGCCCTGAATTCTTTCTTGCACAAGATCCAAGAACCCTCCCTTGGCGTCTGGATTGGGACCCTTTTCCTGTAACGTAATAAACCATAAAAGGTGGTGGTGTCTACTGGTGAACGCTCTCATCATGCTCATGATTTTGTGAGTCAGAAGTTCAGACAGGGCCCATGGGGGCGGCTCATCTTCATTCCAGGGGTCTCCACTGGGAGGGCTCATCCAGTTGGCTGTGGCTGCCATGAAGATAACGTCTCTGCGTCTGGGCCTTGCTTCTGACTGTTGGATATGTCCGAATGGCTTCGTCTCCCAGCATGGCTGTGGGGACTGGTGTGTCCAGTTTGGCCTCTTCACTTGTATGGCTGGCACTTAGAATCGGACGGCAGAAACAGCGGGAGACAGACTGCAGGCAGCTCTCCAGTCCTTCCACGTGGCTAGCGTGAGCATGCTTACAGCATTGCGGTCTTGGAGTAATGGACTTCTTACTTGGTGGCTTGTTTCTTTCAAAACAAGAGTTCCACAAAGCCCAGACGGGAGCTGCAAATTGTACTGTGACCCAGCTCCAGGTCTCAAAGTTACGTCTGCCAGATTCTTTTGGTCAAGCAAGTCACTAAGGCCAGCCCAGGTTTGGGGAAGGGAGTTAGACTCTTATCTTTCACTGGGAGGAGTAGCAGAGAATTTGCAGCCCGTCTTCAGTGTTTTGTCGTATACTGTGTGCATTTCATCAAGTCTAAGATGTGGATGCCAAGGCCCTTGGCCCCCTGAAGGTTTGCTGCAGAAGCACTGGCGTGAGGCAGATGGGCTGATGAGAGAAGAGGTGCACACGTTGATTTACCATGTGTGCCTGGGAGCCTTCCGAATAGACCCAGCCCCACGGTGAGGCACAGAAGCTCATCCAGGCCTGTCTGACCTGCCTTATTTTTTGTTGTCTGTTGTTTTCGGCTTTTAGCAGTCCAAAGCCATGGTTTTTAGTTTCTGTCTCTAGTGATAAATTGAAAAGAGGGATGAGGGAGGGGCTTTACCGGCCCAACCAGAAACAAACTAAGAGAAACAGAAACTGTGTTCTCTTCTTGGACACCACGGTCATCAGGTCTTGAGGCTACAGAATGAATGAGGCTTTGGATCCTGGCAAATCAGGTCCTGGGAGGGTGGGAGGAAGAGGCCTGGCTAGCCAACGGGGTCTTGTTACAGAGATGAAACCTCACAAGTAGAAGTCATCAGAGATCATCAATGGCTCTTTTCAGACCTTTCAAGGTGTTCTATGCTCAGTTAACCTCTCCTAGATCCAGGGAAGGCCTGGCTGCATTGACGGAGATTCTCTACAGATGTGAATTTCCCTGACAGTAGACTGCTTGGCAAGGCCCTGTAAGAGCCATTTCAAAATAATGTCAGAAATACAGTTTGGGGTAAATGTTTCTGTTGTTGAGACACAGTCTGGCTCTGTTGCCCAGGCTGGAGCGCGGCAGCGAAATCACAGCTCCCCGCAACCTCCACCTCCCGGGCTCTCCTGCGTAGCCGGGGCTGCAGACACACACCACCACGCCGGGCTAGTTTTTGTATTGTTTGGAGAGATGGAGTTTTGCCACGTTGCCCAGGCTGGTCTCGAACTGATGAGCTCAAGCGATCCACCCACCTCGGCCTCCCCAAGTGCTGGGATTACAGGTGTGAGCCACTGCACCCAGCTTGGGGTAAATTCTTTTGATTCCCTTCAGTATCACTGCTTGTAAGAAACGTCCTAATTTAAGATGCCAAAATGTGAAAAAATGGTCACAGTGAGGAAGGAGGCCCTTAATCACCCTTAATCCTCTTAAGCATCAGAGACCACTTCCCCCAGCCTTCTGCATTGCATTTCAATAGGAAAGGTAAAACATAGCAGACTGGGGCCGCCCTTAAGCCCTAGAGATCGCAGGCATGGTATGGAGGGATCTTTCCGGAAGGCATCGTTTTTGCTTAAACACGATCAGACCCCCACCTAAGTCACGTACCCCATATCTACTTCATGGATCAAGACCTTTTCACATGTAATTTCTAAGATTGTAACCCACTGCTCCCGGCCGAATAAAGCACCACTTCCCTCCCAGTTCAGTGTTGGAGAGGTTTGTTTGTGGCCATTCCTGCTCCAGCAGCAGAACTGATGAAAAGTAGTGTGGATGGGGTGTGCTGGGTTGTGATGTAAAATATTTCAGCTGTGGGCTACAGTCAGAGTTTGAAACTGGGCAAAATTACCGTAACAAAGTGAAGGGGTAAGCAGCAGCATTCTCAGACATCCAAAGACAAAGACAGTTTATCACATAGAAGGTCTGCCTGAGACAACTGTTAGAAATTGTTGGCCAGGCTTGGTGGCTCACGCCTGTAATCCCAGCACTTTGGGAGGCCGAGGCAGGTGGATGATGAGGTCAAGAGTTCAAGACCAGCCTGACCAAGATGGCGAAACCCCCCATCTCTACTAAAAATAATACAAAAATTAGCCGGGTGCAGTGGCAGGTGCCTGTAATCCCAACACTTGGGAGGCTGAGGCAGGTGAATCACTTGAACCTGGGCAGCAGAGGTTGCAGTGAGCTGAGATCATGCCACTGCACTCCAGCCTGGGTGACAGAATGAGCCTTAGCCAAAAAAAAAAAAAAAGAAATTTTTTGTATTTTGTTTTTGAGGTAAGGTCTTGCTGCATTGCCTGGCTGGAGTACAGTGGCACGGTCGTAACTCACTACAGCCTCAACCTCCAGAGCTCAAGTGGTCCTGCCACCTCAGCCTCCAGGATAGCTGGCACCACAGGCGTGTGCCACCACACCTGCTAATTTTAAATTTACTGTAGAGGCAGAGCCTCACTACGTTGCCAAGGCCGGTCTTGAACTCCTGGCCTCAAGCACTCCTACATCCTTGGACTCGAAAAGTGTTGGGATTACAGGTGTGAGCACTGTGCTCAGCAAAAATTTTATGGGAAATCTCATGCAAATGTGAAGGTGGATTAATAAACTGTCATGAACACATCACCCATCTTCAACAGTCGTCAGTCCACATGGTCAGTGTTTAATCCATAAGCAGATCTCTGCCGCCTCTATGATTATTTTAAAGCAAATCCCAGGCATCGTGTTATTTCAGCTGTGAATACTGGGGAATACCATCTTACCATGTGCCCCCTGTGTTATGATCAAACCATCCCACTTGACCCAGCAATAAGTAATATTTATAGTCAATAATGAAAACAGAGAACACGGATTTGACCCCAGCAATTTGACTTAGGAGACCGGGAGCGGGGATGGGAGGTGCCAGGTGCGAAAATTCTCATCAGTCATAATGAAAAGCCACTAGACAAGGCCCACCATGGAGGAAGCAGGAAAAGCAGGACACCACACTGAGCGCATACCATCTGGGAGTAAGAAAGCAAACAGAAGAAATAGCCAAATCCATTCCCCAAGTTCTGGGGAGCGGGGAGGAGGAGGAAGGACACTGGCACGGGCTGCTGGTTTTGTTTTTGTTTTTACTTTAAATGATGTGCATGTATTACTTTGATTGTAACAAAAAACTTAGAAAAGAGGGCGCTGGAGAATCAGTGATTCAACTCTAGGTTTTGTAACGCTCCCCTTCCTAAGTCAGATTTCTTTTGATTAATGAGCACATTTTGGCCTATTTGAAGATGAAAACTGTGTAGCATAAGGCAGAGAGTCATGTTTGTCGACTGCCCTTCATCAGGAGTGAGTGAAAAACTGTACTCTGTTGGCTTCTTCTGAGGCCGGTTGGCAAAACCTATTTAAAATATTCACAAGGAGCTGGTGCATTGTAGGGTCCATTCCTACAGGGTCCTGTGAGCCCCTCTCTGCTGCTGCCGAGATGAGAAGCTGTGGAAATAAAGACGCGAGACACAGAGGTCAAGAAAAGGGTCTGGGCCCAGGGGTCCACTGCCAACCGAAGCGCGGAGTCTGGCAGGGGCCCAAGTGCCTGGACGCTCTGCTTTTTATTGAGTACAAAGCAGGGGGCAGGGCAGGTAGGGCGAGGCACTGGCGGTCAGTGGTGGGGTCAGGTACAACGTGTCTTGGAGATTGGGGCCCAGGACTTTCAAGTAGTCGAGGCGAGGAGAAAACCTGATGCGTCAGCACCTCTCTCATACTTGTCAGGAAAGAACAAAGACATTAAGATTTATATGACTTTACGGATTCTATCTTCTAAGAAAAAGAGGAACCAGGTGCAGAAGTGGGCCATGAAAGTAGCCATGGAACGTGACCAGTGAAGCGCAGCCTCACATAGAGACAGTTAAGCCCCCGGATGTCTGTGAGCGTCCCGTCAGGCCTACCGCAAGAGCTTGGAGGAGCGGACTTTTGAGGAAGATCTATGTCTTGGACATCTCAGACATCTCCTTCCATAGCTGGCTAAACAGCAGGTGCTTTCCCAGTGCTGGTGCTGCCGCACAGCCGCCAGCAGCCCTTATGCGGGCATGACAGAGAGCTTAAAGCATCTTGCCTTAGGATCACTTTGTTCACCATGTCACCTCAGTTCCATGCTTCATAACCCGATAATCATTAGCAAAAGGTTATATCGAGTATATTTCTGTGATTATACATGAATAGCTGTGATTACTTATGATATGTAGGAATAACTGTGTAACTATCTAATTCTTTTCTAGTTCTGTATTCATATGGGAACAGGCTGAGGCTTCAGAACCTTGCCTTGGCACCTGCAGGGTCTCCCCTCCACAGTGCATGACAGGTCACATGAACAAAGTGGGCGTTTTATCTGATACAGGTCCATTTGCACTGGTGTTCTCTGAAACCCTGTCTGTCTGGGGTTTTTTTCATAGGAGACAGTAAATAAGCGGCATGGACATGAAACAGTTCTCAGCATTTTTGGTGATGCAGGCCTCCCTGGAGATGCCTCTCCTCCCTCCACACCAATGTCATGTTGCAACTCACACCCCTGGGCTGCACCCTGGATGCACACAGGATTAGAAACGCTTCTTTTTACTAGAAGGGTGAAATAATTTGTTTTACCATGGTCTCTCCAGCACTGAAAGGAGCCTGCTACAGAGTAGCTGCCCAGAGTGCGTGCCGAGCTGCTCTTTGCAGTCAAGTTGGAAGATGAACAGTCCTAGATGCCAGCCCTATTTGCATGCCAAGTGTTGTTTTATTTTAAAATATCTTCGCCTTTTTTTTTTTTTGTAAAGAAGGGGGTCCCACTATGTTGCCTGGGCTGGTCTCAAACTCCTGGCCTCAAGTGATCTTCCCAGCTCGGCCTCCCAAAGTGCTGGGATTACAGGCGTGAGCCACTGCCCCCAGTCCCTTTTCTTCTGTAAGTTTTAAGATACTTGAGGCATGCCTTTGTTCAGCCAAAAAGAACTATTAGATGGAAAAAAGCAGGAGGCACTACGTTATGTTTTAAATCTCACACTTAACCTCAATAACTAGGAAATGTAGAAAACAAGGCTTTCCCTACATTAAGTGGGAAGATGAGCAAACGCAGGTTCTAAACAGGAGAGCACAGAACACCCCGACGGCTGCCCGGGACAAATGATCCAGGACATGCTAACCCACATGACAACACGTGCCACTCAGAGGAGGTGTCAGCTCGGAGACAGAAGGAGGAAACGGAGACCAAGGTGGCATCGGCAGTGTCCACTGACCCCTGCTGCAGGTGGGGTGGTGTTGGCTCAACGGCGACACTGTCGGAGGCGGGAAGAGGGGAAGGGCTAGCAGCCACTTGCTGGTGCCTGGCCTTCCTCTTGGGCATCAGCTTCCAGCCCTGCAGCCTGAGGGGACTGAGCTCACCCACTTCCACGGGTGGGCCCTGCTTGGGTCCCCCAGCCTGTCAGCATGTCGCCTCTGCTCTGCCACACTGGGCTGGTTCACAACTCAGGTGTGAGCTGTTAGGGAACCAGGCTTCCTGATTTCCAGAGGCCATCAGTGTGGAAGGGTGCGGCCCTGGGAGCCACCTCGTGAGCAGGCAGGAGTGTGAAGCCAGCGCTGAGGAAGGAAGCAGAGCTGGGAAATGGTGGAAGGGACGCGCATGCACGTGCAGTCCACTGCCTAGGCCCTGCCTTTCAGCCCTGATCACGGGTTGCCTCCAGCCGCCCTACCCACGCACTGTGTGTGTGAGCCCACACATCTGCATCTGACACCAGGCACCTGTCTCCTGCACTGATGCAGGCTTGGGACCTCCAGAGCAGCGGGCAGGATGACGCCCTCAACCTGCACTTCCATCTCCTGGCTATTTTATTCTGTCCACTGACTTCTATAATACAATTTTCATAGGGCGACCCTGCCTTCCAAAACAACTATGGTCAGTTTCAATGCAATCACAGTGTATTCTCAGCATTCTTCATTGGCAGTGGAAAACGCTTCAGTACTTTATTGAAAGAAAGCAATAAATAATACTGTGATAAAAATAGTTCAAAAGTAGACTGTACATACTTTGTTACATAATCAGGAAGTTCACAAAAGATTAGCAAACAGAACAGTAACAATGAATTGTACAAGTAAATTAAAAGCAGAAACCAAATGTGAAAGAGGCTGCCTCCGTCTCTGTATCTGCGGCACAATAAATACCACGCCATGGTCTGACACACTTTGCTGGCTTTTTAATATGCCATTTAAAAAGTAAAAGCCACATTGCAACTTACACAATTCACAATGGCTCTATCATCAAAGTCTAAAAATGTCCCACTAGGTTCATTCTTTAAACATGTTTACAAACAAATGTAAAAAGTGATTTACGTAAGAAAAATAAGGCCTTTATCAGAGTAGCTCTACACGGTTTTCTGGGTCTCCCGCCTTGTCCGCTGTGTGCGCCGACCTGCAGGATGAGACAGTGGTGCCGGGTGGCTGGCCCTAACTGGGCTCCATGGGTGTCTCTCCGCCCACTCCCAAGGAGGAGAGGCGGGGAAGAGGGCGCAGGGGCTGGGCTGGTCCCAGGTGACCCCATCCCGAGTCTCCCCAGTGAGAGAACTGCTCCCAGCTCCCAGCCTCTGTCAGCCACTGAAGACAAGCTCCGCAAACCCAGAGACGAGGCTGGGAGAGCGTGAACCAGTGCTGGGGTTTCTCAGAGTGTCGTGACAGTCTTTTCAGTCCACACTTTATTAGAAGCTGGTATTTAACACCAGTTATTTTAAATCTGTTCATGCTGCAGAATAAAGCATTTCTTGCTAGAAAAAGTATACTTAAGGTCAGTCATTAAAATACAACAATTGCCTGAAATTAGGTATGCGTATTTCAAAATGATTGCTGTAGAGCTAGGTTGCATCTGTAAAGGATAATGCACATTGTTTCTGTCATAACTTTATAAACGTAGTAAAATCCTTTGTCAAGGTTTATCATTAAAAAATTAAACAATAATTACAATAAATGCATAATTTACAAAAGCCCTATATTTGTTCATAGGATTTATACGTACAAGCATTACAGTACATTCATTTGAAAGACTAAAATTAGGTATAAGAACATGATTTGAAAGGATATTTATAGCCTGGATATACATGAAAAAGTAAGTAACTATATAAATGAAGAGTCATAAGTTTACATAAATATAAGAAACATTAAATTCTAAAATATTTTCTCTATGGTATTTATGAATTTTTCACTAATTAAAAACTCTGTAATAAAATATCTTAGGGTCCATATAACAAGTATTAACAGATTAAAGATTCCATTGGATTCTAAAATGTCGTCTTTGTTGGATTCAAAATGCTGCGTAATCATCTGTAGAAGTAGTGTGGGTAAACTAGAAAATAAACACAAACAAAAAAACCGTTCTTACTACAGGCCAGGCCGCGCTAATGAACAGGAGCTTCTGACGCTGGGGCCCCACGTCCCCCCAGCACGACTCCCCCGGACCCCTCACTTTCTGTGCCACAGCTGCTGAGAGTCACTGGGTAGAACATCAAGGGCTGTGCACATTAATGACCACTCCTTGGCTGACTTCATTTGGGCTTACCTCTACAAGTTACCACTTAAAAGTAAAAGATGGACACACCAGTCAGATACTCCACCGGAGGCCTTAAAGTTGCTTAGAGCAGCAAGGAGAGAGCAGGCCACGCAGCAGCCAGAGGCCACAGAGTTAGGAAGCAGTCTCTCCACACTGAGGGCTGTCAGTGTCACACCCTCATACAGCCTGATGAAACTTCATACATGATTAACCATAAGACTTTGGGTTTGTTTCATTTAAGCAAGCTTAGGAATGACCCCGGTGTACACCATGAGGTCAGTGTGCCACGTGCTCTGCCATGTTCTGCTCTCTGCCTGCTCCACGCCGAAGACATCCGCAGACAACTAAAATGAGTCCGCATTTTGGGGTTTAAGGAAAAGGGGAAAATGCAAGAGGACACACTAACCTTTTTATGATGGATTGTAACAATGAAGAGCGTGTCTCTCTATTTGAAATTCCCCACACACTGCATTGGCTTTCATGGCCCACACCCCTAGCCTGGCACTGCGGCCCCGATGACTCATGCTGTGCCTCCGAGCCATCTCGGGGTTATGGTGCTCTCTACTCACCAACAGGAGACTTTAGCAGGAGTAAGTCCTGACTGTAGCAGAATCCAACCTCTGTGTTCCTGATACATTGCCTGTTTCAACAGCCACGAGAGGAAGCGTGCAAACACAGCGTGCAGTTAGTCTTAGAACATCACATGGGGGCACAAGTAGACACACATCTTCACACCTACAGCAGCACCTATGGAGGGACCTGGGGGGAGCTGCCTGAGTGGGCGGGATGGAGCCAGAGAAAAAGATCCAAGTGTCACCCGGTGGTGGCTCTCCCCAGCTCCCCAGGAGCTCCGGGAGACTCTGGAACACTACTCCGAAATACTAAGCACCAAATGGTACAGTAACAATTTCAAAATGCACATCTACATAAGCGACACCTACTTAGAGTGATCCCTTTGTCTCTTACTAAGCTCTACATTCATAGACCAATGAGGCTTTCTCTCTGCCCTAAGTGCTCCGTCTCTAACAGGTATGAAGTAAACAACCAAGCAGCACTGCTGACACTGCCCAGCCACACTGAGTGCGGAGGCAGACGACGTCGGGCACAAGGCCAGCCTAGGACGAGGGTGAGAACCTTGCTGCCCAGCCCTGGCTGTGGCATCTGGAAAGCCCTGCCCTTTTCTCCCAGGGGACGAGCAGAGCAGGTGAAGAGGTCTGGCTGCAGGGATGGGGCATTGGCCAGGGAGTGGGGTGAGGGCTGATCTAGAAACTGAAGGTCAGTCTCACCTCCTATCAGAAATATTCATCACAGAGACCACAGATTTTTTTGGTTCTTACTCAGGAAACACTATGTGGCCATAAGTAAGCCTGATTTCCATGAACAACCTGGATTTGAAGTTTTTACAAATCAGAAGCAGGTGCTGGCTGCTCCCGGTTATGTGTTCTGTTTTCCCACAGGTATGTCAGGGACACTTATCAGCATCCTGCATGGTTCCAGCAAAGCCGTTAAGACAGTTGGACTGTTGGTGAGGACAGATGATCTTCACAAATCCTCTGACCCTAAGTGCCTAGGAAACCTGCTGGAGTTTACCCCGCATTCCCCTATTTAAAAAGCCATTAAAACAATCCATTTAGCTGGGGACGGTGGCTCACGCCTGTAACCCTAGCAATTTGGGAGGTCAACGCAGGAAGATTGCTTAACCCTGGAGTTCAAGACCAGCCCGGGCCATGTGGTGTAACCCCATCTCTACCAAAAAATTCAAAAAATTAGCCGGGGGTGGTGGTGGTGTGCACCTGAGTTCCCAGCTATCTGGGAGGCTGAGGTTGCAGTAAGCTGAGACTGAGCCACTGCACTCCAACCTGGGCAACAGAGTAAGACCCTGTCACAATAATAATAATCCATTTAGAAGGTTTGTGCCTGAGTCATTTATGGAAGGGTAAAAAGTCTTCTTCTTCTTTATAATAAATTCCCTACACCTTTTCCTAGGTTTACTTTACTTTTTTTTTTTTTTTTTTTGAGATGGAGTTTTGCTCTTGTTGGCCAAACTGGAGTGCAGTGGCATGATTTTGGCTCACTGCAACCTCCACCTCCCAAGTAGCTGGGAGTATAGGCATATGTCACCATGCCCAGCAAAGTTTCTTGTATTTTTACTAGAGATGGGGTTTCACCATGTTGGCCAGGCTGATCTGGAACTCCTGACCTCAGGTGATCCACCCACCTCGGCCTCCCAAAGTGCTGGGATTACAGGCGTGAGCCACCGCGCCCGGCCTAGGTTTACATTTCATTCATCCAAACTCTCATTCTTAATATTCCTGTTAACATTTGACAATGGGAATGTGATTTATCAGAAGGAAAACTGAAATCGAAGCCACAAGGAAAACAAGAGAGCACTCATGTGGACTCTTCAGGTGACAGGGCTTGAGTTGAGGGCCAAGCTACAGTTACACTTTCTAAGAATTATATGCATGATTCTTGGAAGAAAAATGGTAATTTTTTAAAAGTTCCTAATTAAAAAGATATGCTGGATTTTCCCCCGTAAGTATATTATCAAACTCTGGCAAACAGTACATAAATAATATAGCCTTTACTAAAAATGCCACAAAGTAAGCCATTCACACCCAAAATGTCCAGTTTAACTAAGGTTTTACATAAATGTACTTTTCTTTTGATTTTTATACAGGGGATAGAGAATAAAATTTATGAACCTACTTACAGGAGGGGCTAATGACAACAAATTTTGCAAAACCCTCATTAGCACAGTTTTCAATTACTATTATTATTTTGTAGAGACGGCGTCTCACTATGTTGCCCATGCTAGTCTCACACTTGAGCTCAAGTGATCCTCCTGCCTCGGCCTCCCAAAGTGCTAGGATTACTGGCATAAGCCACCATGCCTCATTAGCACTTTAAAAAAAATTTTTTTTTTTTGAGACAGAGTCTCACTCTGTTGCCGAAGCTGGAATGTGGTGGCACAATCTCGGCTCACTGCAACCTCCACTTCCCAGGTCCAAATGATTCTTGTGCCTTAGCCTCCCGAATAGCTGCGATTACAGGCGTGTGCCACCAAGCCTGGCTAATTTTTGTAGAGACGGTGTTTTGCCATGTTGGCCAGCCTGGTCTCGAACTCCTGGCCTCAAAGATTAGCACAGTTTTTAATGCCTGCCACCTCGTTTCCTCCAGTCTGCTTGCTGCCCTCAGAAAGGAGAATGAGTGACAGCTGCGTGGAGCACAGGGGCTGCCGAGCTGCCGCCACTGACACAGGCTTAGAACTTCACCAGCTTCACGAATGACACATTTAATGGTCACAGATACTCTACGGGGGAGATACTACTACGATGGCCATTTGACAGATGGGGAAACCGAGGCACAGTGTCGTTAAAGGCCTCACTCAAGGTCATGCACCTCCTAGCAGCAGAGCTGGAGTCAAACCTAGGCAGCCTGGCTCTTCAACCTGTGCACTGCCTTTCATCAGATGAGTGCAAGATTAGAGCTGGGAGACCTGTCAGGAGGCTGTGACCAACTTAACCTCAAATCAAAGTGGTTGTCAAAGGGGAAATCCCAAACTGCTTGAAATCATGGCAGTGA